TTTTACCGTGAGAGTTGGAAAGTAAACAAAAATAAATCTTACTAATTTCTCCTATTGCGAAACTGATAATGAACAGAGTGAGAAAACAATAGGAAGGAAAACCTTACATATAAAAGAGAAGTGAAGTCCTATAAAATGCATTAATCGGCCAGTAATGTTGGAAAAAAGAATGAATGAACATATGATGGATTAACAAGAGTGGGGTGTACTAATTACAACATATATAGAAAACTCTGCTGATAAATGAAAACGTATGTTTGCTCTACAAGATTTTTTAAAGCTTTTAAAACCCATTTCCACCTTGAACCCTACTAGACATGTGCAATTCATTTCATTATGAATGGAAATTCGGACAAAATTTTTGTTATTTGAGATTTAGATTTATCGAATTTCCAAATTACAATAGTAACGAATTTCAACAAATCCAAAACAAATTATAACGAAACGAATTATCCAGATTTGAATGTAAAATTTGTATTCATATTCAAAAATGAATTTGAAATGGAAACATATTGCAATAACTACAGTAAGGTATACAAGTGAAAATAAGATGATGATTCCTACTTAGGCTGCTTTATAGAATAGAATATAATGGATAATAAAAGAATAGAATAAAATAGAATACAAAAGAAAATAGAATAAAACAGAAAATAATTTAATAGAATTGGTTGGTAGAGTTGGTTCTGGCCAGCTCAGTGGATTGCTTTAAAAAAGGCCTGGATTCTTTCTTAGATACACAGAATATCTGTAATGAACCGCCTGGCGGTACCTCTAGCAACCCACGGAATAGGATTCCCCAGAGCACGGAGTCTAAGTCCCAGTTTGCTTGTTCACCAGGGCCCCTGATGGTGGGGATGGACTTGGAGCAGACAGAGACCAGATCGCGGCCCCTGAGTACACCCACCCGTGGTAGAGGGACCCGCCAGAGGTATCTGCAGGATGAGAGCCTGATGTGAAGAGGCGGATGGGTCCGAGCAGGACGGATGGATGGCTGAGCAGAAGCGTGGTCAGACAGGCCGAGTCCGTAACCGTGGGAACAGCGCGGTACAAGGCAGCAGGCAGAGAATAGTCGGGTAACTTGCCGGGTCAACAACGGGAGGTCAGATCCAATGAGGGGCATCCAAAAGAGAGGTCAGGCAAGCCAGGGGTCAGAGCAGGAGAGTACAGCATGGTCAGGAACAATCAGGGTTGGCAACAATCAACCAGCACGGATACAGGAGCAGGAACAAACAAAAGAGACCATACGGCAACCAGTGTCAGCACAGAGCGGATTTAAATACCGCGCCCTGCGCTGTCATTAGTGCCAGGCATGCGCGAGTTCTGTCATCTCCGCGGCCGGCCAGGACCTAGTGCCCGCACACCAGTGCAAGTTGGCACACTGCGCCTGCGCCGAGCCACATGCCGCGGCGACTCCTGACAATATCTGTAGGCAGCACAGTGGCTAAATGGTTAGCACTTCCGCCTGGCAGTACTAGGGTCATTGGTTCGTATCCCAGCCACAGCACCTCTGCCTGGAGTTTGCATGTTCTCCCTGTGTCTGCGTGGGTTTCCTCCAGGTACTCTGGTTTCCTCCCACACTCCAATGACATGCTGGTAGGTTAATTGGATCTTGTCTAAATTGGCCTTTGATATGAATGTGAGTTAGGGACCTTAGGTTGTACACCCTTTGAGGGTTAGGGACTGATGTGAATGTACACTATATGTGTAAATTGACGGCGCTATATAAGTACCTGTAATAAAAATAAAATATAACTGGATACTAACATTTATAGGTAAAATTGATCCAGGGAATATCTGATTGCATCTCAGGGGATCAAGAAGGATTTTTTTTCCCTGCTGGAGCAAATTGGATCAGGCTTTCCTGGGTTTTTTTGCCTTCCTCTGGATCAACTGTGAGTATAGCATTATAACTTTTTTTTTTTTTTTTAATGGTTGAACTGGATGGACTTGTGTCTTTTTTCAGCCAGACTAACTATGTAAGAATAAAACAGATAGAATAGAACAGAACAGAAAATAATAAAATAGAATAGAAAATAATTGAATAGAAAATAAAAGAATAGAAGAGAATAGAAAAGAATAGTCAGTGTGTTTTAGGTATGATAAAAAAAAACTTATTTTACAATTTAGTAAGAGTTTAAGTTATTGTCAATTTGTGTATTAGATAGGATACAAATGTGCACTATTGCACATATGTGGCATCACTGTTGTCATTAGTTAAATATCATGTCATTTGGGTTGGTCTTAGGTGCCATTGAAACCAGAATGCAGCAGTGTGCGTTTCATGCACAGCACATAAGTGTGCTGCCCTTGCAAAACGGCAAATGCTTTTACCATGATCTACCACCAAAGTAAGCTCACACATGCAGTAAAATTCATAAACATTTTCAAAAAAGGGATGAGGGTTGCCTTCCATTGACATGCATTTTATTCCTTGCCAAACTGAACTCCCTTGGCATCAGGGACGCTGCTCTCTCCTGGATTCTCCTCCTACCTTTCCCAACACTCCTTCAGCGTCACCTACAACACTACCACCTCTCCCTCCTCCCCCTCTCTGTCGGGGTCCCCCAAGGCTCTGTCCTCGGGCCCCTCCTCTTCTCCATCTATACCTCCTCCCTTGGCAAACTTATTCACTCTCATGGCTTCAATTACCACCTCTATGCCGACGACACCCAAATTTACCTCTCCACCCCCCACCTCACCCCCTCACTCTCTGCCCGCATCGCCCACCTCCTAAACGACATATCAGACTGGATGTCGCTCCACATTTCCTCAAACTTAACCTATCCAAAACCGAGCTCCTGGTCTTCCCCCCCCCGTGCCCCCCCCCCCCATCCTCTCCATCACTACAAACAACGCCACCATCTCTCCCACCCCACACGCCAAAGTCCTGGGTGTCACCCTGGACTCCCACCTCTCCTTCCTACCCCACATCCAACTGCTATCTAGATCTTGCAGGCTCCACCTCCACAACATCTCCAAGATACGTACTACATTCCTCACCCCAGACACCACCAAACAACTCGTACACTCCCTCATCATCTCACGCCTGGACTATTGCAATTCCCTTCTCACTGGCCTACCAAAACGAACGCTATCCCCACTCTATCCTAAACTCAGCGGCTAGACTCATCCACCTCACCAAGCGCTCCACATCTGCCTCCCCCCTCTGTCAATCCCTTCATTGGCTCCTGATTGCCCAACGCATCAAATTCAAACTGCTAACTCTGACCTACAAAGCCATTCACAACACCGCCCCAAACTACATAACCGACCTGATACCCAAATACTACCCTACCCTTGCCCTCCGCTCGTAACAGGACCTCCTACTCTCTAGCTCCCTGGTCTCCTCCTCCCACGCCCGATTGCAGGACTTCTTTAGGACTTCCCCCATCCTCTGGAACTCCCTACCCCAATCCATCACCTACCCTCCTCACCTTCAGGCGCACCCTGAAAACCCTCCTCTTCCGGAAAGCCTACCCCAACCTCACCTAACACCTGATATCACCTAACAACCTCCTCCACTCCTCCCCCACCACTCCATCCCCCACAGCCATCTCCTCCTGTACACCTTCCCCATCCTCCTAGATTGTAAGCTCGAAAGAGCAGGGCCCTCGAACCCCTCGTGTACTGTTTTGTTACTGTCTTGTCTCATGTTCTGTCCCCCTTGCTACTGTACAGGGCTGAGCATACCCTTTGGCGCTATATAAATACTGTATAATAATAATAATAATGAGTGTTGACACACATTTTAATGTGCATTGATGTGCATTGACATGTGTTTTATGCACAGTATATTGCTATGCATTTTTGCAGATTAGTTCCTCTGACAGATACAAACACAACCTTATTCCAGGATTTACTAGGTCATTCAGCTATTTCATCTTGCTAGCCAGCTTTCCACTACACACTTTCTACTTCCCCTGTACAATGGCTGCCTAGTGGATGCTTGTAAGGGACAAAATAATAAAACGTTGCTATTTTTCTTGACAGACTTGAATTGCATTGTGTTGCTGTGCATTTACCTGCATTTATATGCATTGTGTTGCATGAAAATGCATACATGTAGCATTTTAACTCAATGCTCCACACTGTGAACAGGACTCAAGTGTTACACTTAAACATTACTTAGCATGGATTCACTTAACAGGACTATTTTGAGTGAATAGAACTGCGCAATTAGCCTTCTTAGTGCAATCAGAAGTATGTTGTAGAATTTATCACACTAACACCATTTTCCAAATGATGAGGGTAAAGTGCAGGATACGTGCCTACTGGTCTTTCAGTCTTGGTGATTGAGAACTGTTATGGGGCAAGTAGACGTTAGGGGTTATTTACTAAATCTAGAGAGTGCAAAATCTGGTGCATAGAAACCAATCAGTTTCCAGGTTTTATTGCAAAGCTTGATTGAACAAGCTAATGTTAGAAGCTGAATGGATACCATGAACAGCTGTACCAGATTCTGAGTTCGCCAGTTTTAGTAAATCTATTCCAAGGTGTTCAAATGGTCAATAACAGTCTGCCAAAATGTTGTGCTTGTACCCACTAGCCACAGACATTTAAACTTTTGTATCCTATCAGTGTCCGTGCATTTGTGAAATTAACACATAGGTGCATACTAATCAAGCAATGAGCGGTGAATCTGACATTCATCAAACATTTAGTGCAAGTGAATCTTCTTTTGTGGAAGTTGTGAAAAAACAGTGAGAGATTCGCCAACCAGTGAATGTTTGGTGAACGTCACATTTGACGTCACGCTTTGATATTATACTACACAGATAATGTGTGGAAATCAGGAAAATGACAAGAGCTGCAATGTAGTACAATGCCAAAATGCCAGAATTCCTTAAAGTGTTCAATGCTACAATATGTTTTGTCTGAAATTGTCCTTTAAGACATTGCTAAACCCAAAACATAAAATCGGTCTGTATATGCAGTAAAGCATGCTTGATGTACTCACTGTAGAACCTAAGGGGTTAATCCTCTGCATTGTGTAAAAAGGCTGTTTGATCCTGACTTCTCTGCCCCTCCTCTTGTTCAAATGTCCACGCTGATACAGACTGAATCTGTAGTGTAGTCACATGCACATGCTCTGCTTGGTGCATATTGCGAGAGAGGTTTTTTTTTTTTCTTTCTTGGGAGAGTGCATGTGATCAGCACAGGGCCAATCAGCACTGTCCAGAGATCAGGGGTTTTCCTCTCCTAGAGCAAAATTAAAACTCCTCCTACAAGCCTTAACCAGTGCCCTGCTGAAGTCACAAGACTGCTCTAACTGCTGATGAGAAAAGGTATTTAGCAGTTTATATTTACTAAAATAATTGCACTTCCATGTTCTGTGTACTGTGGGAAACCAGATATAGTGAATGCAGAGTCCTGGGTTTAGTAACACTTTACTTTTTCACTGTTCTGTAAGCAATTTACATCTGATAATGTATTGCAATTGTGGGCTATTGGAATAAGAAAAAAGGTATGCTTGTTTCTTTGGACAAATAATTCATTTACCAAACATTCTTATTTTTTTTCCATTTCACGTTAGAATGGAAGGGAGGAGAGAATTATGTTTTGGATTATAAAATACCAAAGAGGTAGCACTGAAAACTCTGACATTTATGAAGATATAAATTAGATAAACTTTCATTTAGTGTCATGTAGACACTGGAAATTGAGGCTAAAAATTTCTTCCGTTCTTAGTTAAAAGGTTACTATAGCTTGCCAAGGCATGACATTTGATTTGTCTGTACTATTTTTCATTTTGAGGAACCTTTATTATGTTTAAGCATGTACTAGAAATGTCAAACAAAAGTGCTTAGAACACAGCTCTATACAATACAACTTTGCGTCAGCAGCTTAGCTTGGTAGCTGGCAGGGGAATGTAGCAGATAGCAACAGCTCAGTGAAATAAAGCCTATTTAAAATGAGGGGGCTAAATTCATAAACTGCACAGAACTAAAAATGCAGCCTATGTGTGATTCTTGCCTAAAGGAACCTCTTAGAACCATAACATCAAATATTTCCATTTGTCCCTTTACTCCTAAAATATAGCTCCACCTGCACACAGATTCCTGGCTTATTTGATATCAGTTGTGTAAGTAGTGTTGGATGCAGTGTATTGCATTACACACTGTATGTATTACCCGTCCTGTTGCTTTATGCTTGAAAATGTTTTTGAATTATTCCCTAAGGGGGCGATTGGTATTTTGCATGCTGACATATGAGAACTGCAGAGATGTGGTAAGCTATGGAGAAATAAAAGGTCAGGAAACAATTCTATGATTATTCAAAAACCTGTGTAGGCATGCCAGAGAAAGATTATTATGATTATTACGATAGATTACTATTTACAACGTTTATTATTTCACTGCTCTACACTGCTATACTACATGCAGCGTTATGCTTGAAAACAATATATAAAGGTTTTGTTTGTTGTTTAATGTAGTATGATCTCTTTTTTCATTAACCAGTTGCCCTCTGCCCTATAGCAGAAATGCTGTGCAAAATCAAGTATATATATGTGATTTGCATTTCTAGCGTGCCACCCTACCCACGCCCCCATTGGTGGCTACAGATGTCGATCACCAGGTCCAGAGATTCCCCGCTGGCACCCAGCAATTGGCGAGAAACAGTGACAAGGGAAAGACCTGTGTATAAACAACACAGGTCTCTCTCCTGCCAGCAGTAACATTATTATTTATTACAGATACTTATATACACAGCAGAGAAATACACAGCAGAGTAAAAACACACACAGCACACAGTTAACCCTTTGATTGCTCAGATGTTGACCCCTTCCTGCCCAGTGTCATTAGTACAGTGTCAGCACTGATCACTGTATTAGTGTCATCGGGATGTCAGGGCAGTTAGTCAGTTCCCCTTTAGTGTCAGAATGCTTGCTGCAGTCCCGTTATAAGTTGCTGATTGCCGCTATTACTAGTATGAAAAAAAAAATAATTACAGTATATATACCGCCATTTATAGACGCTTTCACGTAAACCAATTAATTTACATGTATTGGAATTTGTTTTAGCAAAGACATGTATCAGAATACATTTTGGCCTACATTTATGACAAAATTAGATTTTTCATTTATTTTTACTGTATATGTTTTATAGCAAAACATTAAAAAAAAATATTTTTTTTTTCAAAATTGTCAGTCTTTTTTGTTTATAGCGCAAAAAAATAAAAAACACACAGGTGATCAAATACCACCAAAAGAAAGCTCTATTTGTGTGAAAAAAAGGACATATACATTTCATTTGTGTACAGAGTTGCATGACTGCGCAATTGTCAGTTAAAGTAACGCAGCACCGTATCGCACAAAATGGCCAGGTTAGGAGGGGGGGAAATCCTCTGGAGGGCAAGTGGTTAAAATACAAAACATTTAATATAAATATTATAAAGTCTTCTATCCAAACAGCAGTTAGAGTTTTAGGCTGGTTTTCACGTTGCCCTCATTATCTTTTGATCCTTTGTTGTAGAATGTATGCTGTATATAGAGCTCAGTAGTGTAAGCTGAAAAAAACACACATGCAATTGTGTGAGGCTCCTGTTGGATTACTCCATCAAAGATTTCAAGCTAAAATCCAAGTGGTGACATTGCCTACTTTTCACTGCTGTCTAAGCTTGAAGTGTTACTAAACCCAGTTCCCTGCATTCACTTTATCTGGTCTCCCACAGTACACACAACATGGAAGTGTAATTATTTTAGTAAATATAAACTGCTAAATACCAGCAGTTGGAGCAGTCTTGTGACTTCTATCAGTGTTTATCAGAGCACTGGTTAAAGTTGTAGGAGGATTTTTCTTTCTGCTCTAGGATGTTGCAGGACCCCTGACCTGTGTCTGGACAGTGCTGTCCCAAAAAACATCTCTTGCAAGACAAACCAAGCCGAGCATGTGCAGAGTGACTCCAAACCTCTGTTCTATCAGGAGATATTTATGGGGCAATGGAAGAAGGGGAGGATCATAGAAGAGAAGATCAAACATCCTTTTTACACAATGTGTAGGATTAACCCCTTAGGTTCCACAGTGAGTATAACAAGCATGCTTTACTGCATATACAGACTGAATTCACTGTTGTGGGTTTAACATTGACTTAAAGGACAATTTTAGACAAAACATATTGTAGCATTCAACAGTGGGGATGGTTAACCATCAACAGACTTTTATTATTTTCTGTTCACTCCCCCCCCCCCCCCACTCCCTGTCCTGGTTGCCACTTTCTGTCACTGGGACAGAGAGTTAGGAGAATCCCACAGGTCATATACATCAATAAAAATCTTATGGAAGTTCTAAGTATTTCACATTATATCCAAAACTAAATAAAGCTTTGGTTAAAGTCACTTAAAAGGTGCTGGACATGCCCTTATATAGCACATATGGTTGGGGTTTGGGCAGAAGGATTTAGAAGATTAAATTTCCAAATCGTGGCCAATATGTACAATGAAACCTTAAGCGCTGATTCACACGTGTGCAGTGCAAATTGAAGCTCAGGTTTCACAACTAATTGATACAGTAGCTGTTCACCGCTTCATGTCAGGTTCACTGTACATCAGGTTCGGGACAGGATTAGCTCTCAGGATTATCCCATTTACACAGATGCGGTTCAGAAACGGTTCCCATAGAAATCAATAGCCTGTAATCTGCACCTGAACCTGAAGGCACTACTCAGAAATCAGACATGACTCTTTTTCAAACCGCACTGAATCCGCACCGCCAGTCCACTGGACATATATGAACAGGCACCATAGGAAGCAATGTATTTTCACATGTCATGCAAATTGGATGTGGTTCACACCGCATCCAATCTGCATATATGTGGACCAGCACTCACACTTAAAGTGTCACTAAACCCACAACAGTAAAATCAGTCTGTATACAGTATGCAGTAAAGCATGCTAGTTATGCTCACTGTGTAACCTAAGGAATTAATCCTTGGCATTGTGTAAAAAGGCTGTTTGATCCTTTCTTCTCTGCCCTTCCTCTTTTTGAAATGTCCACCTGATACAAACTGAATCCGTAGGTACATGCACATGTTCAGTTTGGTAATGTAACGGAACCGTCCCCAGACTGCACTTGGGTAGTTCCGTTAGGATACTGCTTCCCTGTCCGAACACCAACCACAGACACCACAGCAGACCATAAAAGACTAGACGACACCAGTCTTGAAGTAAACCAGGAAATAGACTACTTTATTTTACCACAGATACAAGATATATACATTCAAGGGAACAACCCCCCCTCCCTGCACAATAACACAGGGCGGGGTAATCTACCTTTAGCAACAAGAGATACACCAACAGACAGTCCCATCAGGAGGGAGGGCTGCTGGAAACACCCCCCACCAAGCCAATACACAAACACATACATCCCATAATAGTTTGCTCCCAAGCAAGACACATGATAGAACAATGGGACGCAACCACATGGCATTAAACAATCAACAACCCCTCACCCCAATATTAGGACAGATCACCCTGTACCTCTACCAGGCACAGGGTGACTTACACATATTAGGGATATGGGGAGCTGAGGCAGGGGTCTCCCCCCACCTCTCCAAACTGAGCTGTGTTCCATGGGCCCCCCACCCAAAGTGACTCCCGTCACAGGTGTATATTGCTAGAGAGGTTTTTTTTGTTCTTGGGAGGGTGCATGTGATCAGCACAGGGCCAATCAGAACTGTCCAGACAGAGGGTCAGGGTTTTCTCATCCTCCTAGAGCAGAAAGAAAACTCCTCCTACAAAGCTTTAACCAGTGCTCTGCTGAAGTCACAAGACACTGATAGAAGTCACAAGGCTCTAACTGCTGATGAGAAAAGGTATTTAGCACTTTATATTTACTAAATTAATTGCATTTCCATGTTGTGTATACTGTGCGAGACCAGATATAGTGAATGCAGGGAACTGGCTTTAGTAACACTTTCAACTAATTGTTGCAGTGGAATTCTAAAATCACCACAGCAAATTTTCCCAGAAAATGCAGACAGGATATTAAAAAGGTAGACTTCACCATTTACCCATCATTCCTTTGCATGTGTCATTGAAAACGAAAACCCATGATAAATGTATCAGTTTGGCCCACTGGAAAAGCAAGTGATTTTTAGCTCCTCTGACCCTAACACTATGATAAATTGTTCATCGTCTTCATTAAAATCACTTATTTGGTTACTGAAATACTACATATATAACATATGTAAAGTCAACCAGAGGCAGAAATCCAGCCTAATGTAATCAGTCTTCATTCAGCGGCATCTTTTTGTGCAGCTGTGAGCATTCATTTAAATGATGATTCATCTGTAATGATATTATTTGTGAAAGAATTTGTTTGCCAAAAACTGTTCATGCTGTCATCTAACACATGCTACTTCTTACTAGTGAAGTGTATATTCCTAATTATAGAAGATACTGTGCAGAGTGTCAGATCCTGGTGAGAAACATGACATTCCACAGTCTGTTACAGTGAATAAGAGATGCCCTTTAACGTGACAGTAACTTGAGATTGGGCATCTGGGTATTTTCAGAATGCTAAATGGAGATCTGCTATATTTGTGATACCTACAATATTAAACATTGGCAGTAGGGCTCATGATATGATTTAGATTCCATTTGAATGCATAGTGCCATAAGTCAGTCAACGCATGGTGTGATGACAGATGTATTATTGTCATTTTAGAGGTATTGTGCATAGATTTGATTTTCCACTCAACTTGATCAACACAGCATGCTTCCACTACAGATTCCATTAGTAACCTCTTTGTTGTTGATAAATATGCATCATTCTGCATGGCTGGAAATGTTTATTCAAACTAGACAGCTATTGTTTGTGTGATACTTTTTGCTAGGGAAAATGAGATTCTAGGTATTCAGGCAATGCAAACAAGGATGTAATGGCAACATCCTGACACTTAGCACTAGAATGTCCACTATTATTCCTAGTATACCATATTTTCAAAAGGGGAATTTTGAGCTGTAATATGTTCTCAATATGCTCAATGCTAAAGTCAAGCCATAGAGCTAAATACAAAGATCAAACAAAATATATAGAAAATGTTTGCCTACCCATGATTTGTATGTCTGTGCAGGCAGTTTTGTAATACGGGGACAACCAGATCTTCTTCTTCCTCTGCAGTATCTCATCTTAGTCCAGTAACCCAATGAAAGCTCATCTTTAGCTTGCTGCGCTGAAGAAGAAGCAGTACATGTGTATTTCAGCTAAAGTAAAAACCCTTGCCCAGTCTTCCTGCTGTTGAGCGGAGGTGCTCATTTCAAAACAGCATTTTATATTTCTATGAGATAAAATAAAAAAATATATTACACCTTTTTATGTTTTAATGAATGCACGACTACAGTAAACGATTGTCTGGTAATGGTAACATTTCACTTAAAAAAATACCAGTTGAAGGATATCTAAAAGGCATAAACAATGCAAGAATCCCTCTGATGAAGTCACGTGGGCGTGATGTAATGAGTATGGGGCATGGCTCTGAGCAGACGAGATTACTGAAACCAGCTGATGCGATTCATAGCCTGCATTTGGTGATTTTACGCTCTAAGGCGTTTTTATCTTTGAATACATATGAGTGTAACACTGTTTTTTAATAAATATTACTGACAGTATGTACTGCACCATGGGAGTTTTTCTTGTTCCTTTTAAGATGGATATGAGACCTCCATTGCTCTTAAAGGGATCGATCCCTAGCTCTGATCTGACAGTCAAATGCACACTCAAAATGTCTGATTACTACCATATAGCTATGGATTAAGAAAGTGGAAAATCTTTCTGTCTATTCGTTATCAAAGCGCATTTTCATGTGCTCTAAGGTGAGAGTTCTTTGAGCACGGAGGTGGCACCATTTTTTGATTTTGCATAATCTCACTTGATGGGCTTTGGGACATTTATATAAGAAGAAACCACAAGATTTATTGAAGAATTGTTAATTTATCAAGGTGGTTTGATCTCACAATGTATGATCTAAATTTGGGACATTTTATTTAGTTAGGCTTTTTTTTGTAGTGTGTCAGCAGCGCAGCACCACTTGTTTGTCTATTTGTCATTTTTGTGGGAACACATTTTGATGTTAGCAGCAGCTATCTCATTTCAGTTTATCTAATTTTCACTTTGTTATTTGTTGGATAGCACAGGGGTCCACACACTTTTTTAAATGCAAGAAAAATCTCTTCTTAGACAGGTGATGTAGGAACAAGTGCCCTCATCGGAAGACTCCCCTGCCTGTTATTGTGTTAACTCAAAATGTTGGATTTACCCTTCCTGATGATCAGGACAGTCAGAGAGAGTGTTTCTCCCTAAGGCTAGGTACGCACCAATGCAGTTTACGTTTGATCCGTTTCTGCAGTGAATTTTGCATTGCGTTTTTGATGTGTTTTTGATGCGTTTTGCGGTTTTTAATTTTTTTTTATTTTTCTTGTTGCTAGGCAGATTTAAAATGCAAAACGCAGCAAAAAAGCAGCAAAAATGAACCAACAATGCAACCTTTTGCATTCAAAAAAGTAATTGACCCTTTCCAAAAAACACACCCATTCCAAAAATGCACTGCAGAAAACGCTTTTTTTTATCTAGGCAAGAATGACATTTGTGCCCCCCACCGGATTGCGCACGTGAGCAGATGTTCCCTAGGACTTCGAGGCCCAAGTAAGCCCTGCAGCACATATGCACACAAGCAAATTTCCCAGAAGACCTGCACCATGCACAGCTTTTCTAGTCCATGTGCAGAAATGGCTATTACGAAAATCCCAAACCTTTGCATGCACATACACTGGAAATCTCCTGCATGTGAACCGACATGATCGTCTTCTCATCACCACAAAGATGGCATCAGGAAGGGGGGTTCAGAGCTACTAAACTGTGTACAGAAGTTCCTCTTTATAAGAGATTTGCTAAAATTTGTAAACTTAGCAAAGGAACATGTTTAGATTACAACCCAAGTGTCAGTCCATCCTCTGCTAACCTTTCTGTTTGATGGCTTTACATCTGCTTTGACTTATCTTTTAGCAAACATCATCAATACGGTTTATGGTGCAATACGCTATCCCCTACATGCAAAGAAAATGTAAAAAAAAAAAAAATATTCCAAATACCTATTTTCACACTGCCTTTTTTTAATCTCCTTTTGCTTTGCATAGTTGAGGGTGGTTGGTCATTTCCATTATGATTTTACAATACAAAGTTTCCCACTGCTGTAGGTGGGAGCTGCCATCAGTCGAGCTTCTGGAGTCAAGGAGGGGGCATGTAAGTAAAAGATAGGCTGGGCTTGCAGTGACAAAGGTAGTACGCGCTGACGCTGTGTGCATCACTACAAAAAGCCAGTCTTACTAAGCAGCAAAGGCTGACAGCGCTCAGATACACTGAAAAGAGCTAGTTAAGCATTGTCAGCATAAAACAAGACATGCTATTTACACAGCTATAGCTGGTGTAATCACCTGGTACTGTTTATTGAATTTCAAAGTAGGACAAGCAAACCCGTGCTTGACATGTTTAAATGAACATGACCTTCATTAATATGTGATTTTTAAAACTTTCATATTATGGTTATTGCAAATAATAATAGCTTTCAGATTTAAATATAAATATTGGTAAGACCCCGGTCGCACTGGGTGCGGCTTTGCATGCGGTTTACATGCCATTCGACTTCTAAATTTCATGCCAAATAGAACCCTATTGTCCGCAATTACAACGGTCATATCGGTGCAGTTCCGACTTGGCCGGAGCCGCACCGATTTCTAAAGTAGTGCATGCACTACTTTTGGTGCGATCTGTGTGAGAAGTCTTGCAAATCGCACCTCAAATTGCAATGACATCCCGACTTTGAAATCGCGTCACTTACAGTGAAATTGCACGATTTCAAAGTCAGGATCGATGTGACCAGAGTGTAAATGAACAATACTCACCCCTGTGATGCTCAATGTCAGGGCACTCTTCAAAAAAAAAATTTTTATTTTATAAAATGAGAATTGATACTATAAAACAAATGGTTTAGACAGTAATACTGACAAAAAATAAACAGAAAGTACATCTCTCTGAGTACTTTAACCTCCTCGGCGGTATGATTCTTTCGATTTTTTGTGCTGAAAGCGGTACCATTTTTTTGCATGGAAATATGTAGTTTTTTTATTGTAGTCTGTAATTTTTAGGAATAACTCACTGAAATCTGTACGAACAAGAGTCTATTAAACATCCCGGGTATGATAAAATTTGAAACACGGAATCATAAATTATAATTTAATAAATAATCATAAAAAATAATAATATAATAATAAATTTAATTCAATAATATAATCAAACAAAAAACACTGAAATTTGAAATACAGAGGCAAATTCGCACATCGCTGAGCAAAGTCGCAAAATCGTTTTCATTGTTTGATGACAAATTTCCCCACGAGTCATCATCACTCAATTCTGCAAGTGGTTCTGATTTACTATCGCTGTTCAAAACCGCTTTTGACGTAAAGGGACGCTTTTTGGACGCCATAGACTTTTCTAAGTTTCCAGACAGAAAGAACATTCAAAATGCAGGTAGGGCACAGGACAAAGCACTCGAGACAAAATATATGTGAAATGCATTGAAACATCAATGACATTTTTTAAAAATTTCAAATTTCCCGCTGGTTACGACGCCCGTACGTCCCGACGTCACAGGGACCAGAAAACAGAAGCCGGATGCCGGCATCGGCTGGAGGAGATGGCCGGGGACACTGCAGGGGACACATCGTGGGAGCGGTAAGGACAAGGTAAGTGCTGCAGGGACCCTCTGAGCAACGCCGCATGGTAAGCCCGAGTGTAGCTCGGTGTTACCGCTCTTGGTATAGAAATTTTACCCCGAGCTACACTCGGGATTACCGCTAAGGAGGTTAAAGAATAACTCCACTTTTGTTGAGAAAAAATCATTCCAC